AGAGAGAGAGAGGGGAACACAGTAATTAGTAATATATGAATAGAAGCTATGCTATATTCCATTAATTAAAAGAGTTTACATCATTTCTGTAGACACAGTGGAAAAAACCGAATGTGAAGGATAGGAACCATCGAACACTAAGAAGGATTGTGTCCAAACAACACAGATCTACTGCAGCAAACCTCAATATTCACCTTGAAGACCCTGTTTCCACAAAAACCAACCACAGAGAGCTTCACAAAGCCAACATCCATAAAAAAGCTGCAACTGATAAACCTTCAATCTCAGACACCAATGTTAAAATGCAAAAACGATGGTGTCACGATCATAAAACCTGAACAGTTGGAGCACCAAAATGAACTTCGACATCTGCTCTGGCCAGATAAATCACCTGGCTTGAATATTATCAAACCTCCATGGATAGTTTTGGGGCTCTATCATACACCCGGCGCAATGCGGCGCCAGGCGCAACACAAGTGTTTTTTGCTAGTTTCAGCCCGACGCAGTTGTCATTTTCACATCCTGCGCCACGTTGTTTAAATAGCAAATGCATTTGTGCCCATTTGTGCGCCTATGGGCGTGTTGGTCTGAAAACGAGGTGTGTTCATCAGGCGCATTGCTATTTTGAGGCAACTGAAATAGACTGCACCGCTGACCAACAAAAACCTGGTCTAAAGGCTGGCGCAATATTTTTTTGTTGTTATTTAAAGAGCGTGTTAGTAATATGCGCCTGTAGACGGGTGCACAACGCGCGTACACTTTTCTTATTACACACACAGGGACATGCAGCCGCACACAAACATTTTTAAAAATGTAAATTGTAAAAGATTATTATTGTGTACATAAATATAAAAATGCCTACATGTCATAATGGACAGTCTTTGCATGTATCAGAATTACACGCACAAGCAGATCCGTTCCTTCACTAGAGAAGCGTTCAGTTTTTCCGATTGCTAATTCCGCCGTGTAAATAGCGAATCTGCCATGGCGCTAGCGCAACTGGCTTTTAAAGGGAATGGGAGATGAGACTCTGATTGGTTTATTGCACGTTATGCC